TTGAGCTGAAGAGCTGAGGGACAGCGCCCAGGCCCAGAGTTCAGGCCCCATGACCGGACCCAAAAAAAGAAAAATGGAAGTCATTACCTCTGTTTTTTTTGTTGTTGATGATGGTCATGGGGCTTGAACTCAGGGTGTTGGTGCTGTCCCTGAGCTCCTTTTGCTCAAGTCTAATGCTTTACCACCTTAAGCCACAGTGCCACTTCTGGCTTTCTAATGGTTAATTAGAGACAAGCATCTCACGGACTTTACTGCCCAGGCTGGATTTGAACCTCGATCCTCAGCTCTCAGTCTCCTGAGCCACTGTGTTCTTTGAAGGGGCAGGCCTCTCAGGGATCCCTGCTGTACCCCCGTCCTCACCCTGTTCTCCCTGTTCTGAAGGCTTCCATTCTGAGATTAGCACAGTGTGTTCTGATCTGGGTCTTCCCCAGTGTGAAGGGCAGCCTGCTGCGTGTAGAGCCACTGCCGGTGGTGTCGTGCAGGGACTCCTGACAGTGTCTCAGCAGGAACACGTGTAAAAAGGGGCAGGACAGCCTTGGTGAAGGATCGCCATTACACCGTTTTTAGAACACTTAAACCCACTCTGCTTCCCCTCTGCCCCCCTCCTCTTTTTGTGCCATAACTGGGGCTTGAATTCAATGCCTCATACTCTTGCTTGGTCTCTTTTCTTTTTTCTCAAGGCTTAAGCTCTACAAGTTGAGCCACACTCCCCTTCCAGCTTTTTGCTGGTTAATTGAATTTGTCTGCCCATGCGGACTTCAAATCATGATCCTCTGATCTTAGCCTCCTGAGTAACTAGGATTATAGTCATAAGAGAGTAAAAGCTGGTTGCCTTTTTTTCTTTTTTCCTGTAAAATTAGTATCTTTTGATAAGGAGACTGGCTAGGCCCAGCCTGAGACAGGCCTGAGAGAAGTAAATTATGGGTCTCTGTAGCAGGCCACCCCAATTTTCAGGTTGTGGTACCTGATGGATCTCTTCTCCCAGGAGGTCACTTACGTCAAGGCCAAGTCTTCTCATCTACAACTTGTATGACAGCCCCGTCTAACCTGAGATCCTGAATCTTCAGGCTCCAGAGGCTTGGTAGCAGCATTGACATTTTCATACCCTATTTTACCTCAATGGAACAAGCCATATCATAAAAAAATAAATAAGGAAAAAATACTAATTAAGGAGTTATCTCTTCAAAAGAAATATGCAAGCATGATGGTCATCTTTTTCTCGAAGTCTCTCTGCATAACCTAACCTAACCTAACAACAGATCAAGGCAGAAGTACGAGACATGGGACTTAAAATGGGGCAGCCTATTATTGAATGTCTTCCTGGTTACCATTTAGAACCAGCATATTCAGTCCTGATTAACTGAAATCTGCCTAAAAGTTTTTTACTCACGTTTCCTCTTTCTTAACGATGTCTTCCCCCATTGTCTCTGCAGGAAGTTCTCCAGCAGCTGATCGTAATGAATTTGCCCAATGTTTTGATGATTGGCAAAGACCCACTGTCCGGTGAGTGAACCCCCGCCCCCCTCCATTGCCGCCTGTTGCCCCCTGCAGTGTCTGGGCAGGGCTGTAGACTTTGGACAGCTGTTGGCCACAGAGCTTTGGCTGCTAGCTTGAGGCCAGCAAAGTGAAAACACGTGATGTTCTGGTGAAATTGTAAAGAGTGGGGCATTTTATTGCCTTGAGACACTAAGCCAAGAGCATATATTTCTTCCATAAGAATGAATGAGTCCCAGGATAACCTAGCTTTTCAGGATGCTGAGATCTAAGGGTCAAGGTTCAAAGCCAAGCCCAGGCAGGAAAGATGAGGCTTTTAATCTCCAACTAACTGGCAGAAAGTCAGCATTGAAATTGTGGCTCAAGGGGCTGGGAAGATGGCTCAGTGGTAGAGCGCGTGCCTTGCATGCCTGAGGCCCTGGGTTCGATTCCTCAGCACCACATAAGCAAAAAGAAAAAAGCCGGAAGTGGTGCTGTGGCTCAAGTGGTAGA